AAGAAGATGAACTAACTTAACATGGCCACAACGAAGTTGGGTTTCCAGATAAAGAAGTTTGACCCCAGCACCCACAATATAATCCCCCTTTGTGATGTTCTCGAAAATGCTCGCTAAGGTGAAGAAAAGGTGGGGAGGGGCTGGGTCACAGAGAAGACTTTCTGACCTCATGCCTACATCTTTTTCATTTAATTATAAAGCTGTAATTTAGAGCTGATTTTAACCTGGGGAGGGAAAAGCAATTATTTCATAGCTGAAGCCTCTTTTGCTCATATCAGCTCACCACCTAGAAAGCTATTTAAAGCTGACTCTCTAAATCGCTACACACAGGGAATTATATCACACCTGATGTGTAGAGCCCTTTGGCAGTTCCATAGATATCACCATTATCATCTCTTTTCTGATAAGACACATCAGTCTTGTTGCTGTGCCCTCACTCATTTTTATTCCCAGACTTGATCTTCTCTGCGAGAACATATGCGCACACACACACACACACACACACACACACACCATGCACACACCATTTTCTAGACCTTTTATGTATAACTGGGAGAAAACTTACAAGAAGGGATAATCTTGACTGAATATGCTCATTAATCATTTTTGCCAGAGCTGAAAAAAATTAGAGGATACATCTAATTGGCAGCAGGAAGGTTTTAGTTTATATAGAGGTAGGGGAATGGAATATATTCTGTGCAAAAACTCCGAAATAAGTTAATTAATAAAGTTTACTTAAGAAGTTCTTTGAGGTTAGGATATATCATTGGTTCTCGGAATTTTCATCTCATAATATTCACATCACTATCATCAACTTGAGGATGCCATAAACATAAACCACGAAGTTTTGTCTGAAGTAGGTCTTGGATCTTCTTAACTTTGTCTCTCATAATCCTCTCATAATCCCTGACCTACCATTTTTGAAGAATCTGAGTAGAGAATCCCAATGTTGTGTTATTTAAAAACACTTGATAGCATTAAATTAAATGGGAAGATGGTTTGGTCATTCCATAATTTCCCAAAAGGCCCATTAACATGAAACAGACATAACCCCAGGTAAAATTTTACGTAATAACATAGACACGCCAATGCAAAATTCAAACAGATTTTCACCTGAGAATTCAAGAAATATACTACCTTGCCCCAAACCGGTAAGAATCCGATTACCACAAGGATGGATAGTTACCCATGGCGAAGAACGGGATTCCCAGCAGGGTGGAGTTGTACTTTCCATCAGTGATGAAGAAGATCCCTGCTGCCGTGATGATGGAGATGCACACTGTGAGTACCCCCAGGAGGCCCAGGAAGGGCTTACTGCGCAAGCAGTCCTTCATGGAGCTGGAAAGGGTGGCTGTGGTCAGGATCAACACAAGGCTCACCAGGACTTTGCTTCTGGCCATGATGCTGGTCTTATGAAAGTCTCTCCAGAGGCTAAAGGATGCTAAAGAGTAGAGCTGGAGGTCTTGATGCTCCTCCTGGAGCTTCCTCATAAGCTTAGAGAACTCATTCTCCCACTTCTCCCCTATGAGGTCTTGGGTGGCAGAGCCATAGGTCTGGAGGTAGTAGGTGATTTGAATGGCTCTGGCTGACTTGACCCGCTGGTCCTTGCTGTTTGGTACTTCCACTACCCCGCCCAGTTGGTGTCCAATAAAACCGTTCCTCCCATCCTTGAAAACAGAAAAAGGGGAGACTTAATTTACCAGAAGGATGCACATTCCAGGGAACAGATTCTTACTCTAAGTGAAGAAGCTCAAAGAAGGAAGAAATAGGTGCTAGTGGTTGTGAAACTGATGTGGGTGGAGAGGCAAGTTAGCATTTTATATTCAACATTTAGAGCTACATGGGATACCATGCATGATGATCAGGATTAAAAAAGATGCAAAGAGTATTATGAAGCTACACGAGAATTGCCACATGCATAGAAAGATGTAGATAAATATTTTGATTTCATCCATACCCTCATTCCCACTGTTTCCTTCTGTAGCAATCTATTATAACTCATTAATGCAGGATCAAGTTTTATGATTGGGTTTCAGCCAAAAATGAAGCATGGCATGAACTGACAACATTTCAAAAATTAAAATAATTATTCTATAA